GAGTTTGTGTTTTCCTAAGCTGGAGAACTGCTGTTTTGGAGGAAGGCAGGTTTAAAGTAGTTCTGATAAAAAGTCTTTGCTAGCGGCCTGTCATGTTAGGACTAGCTGAAAATTAGAGAAGCAACTGAGGAGACTTGTAAGAAAGGATGTAACTAATACGTTGTATACCAACTGTACTTGAAAAAAAAGGATAGGAGATCAGGAGAAACTGGAACTAAGGAAGGAGAGGGACCATATGAATTAAGTTAGGGTGGGGGACTTGTAGGCGAGGAACATGGCCAACGGTTGAGGGCATTAAAGAGTGCTAGAATGAGGAACACTGGGACATGGGACAGTAGGAACTTGGGGACAATGACTCTGTGAATTCAGATTGTAACCACGCACAGAGCGGAAGGTGGGACTGTGGCTAAACAAGAATGGAGGTTATGATGGAGAGCTGCTCAGGGCGCTTCGTGGAAGATGGAGCGTAGAGAGGCTGTGTGGGGTGGACCTAATCCAGTCACAGTCTGAACAGTGAGTGCCGATTGAGGTATGTGTGTATCCAAAAGAGACGGCTGAATCTGTGGGAATGATTGTACATAGTCTCTGAATGAAGGAGGGAAGCTGAATATTAGAGTTTTTATAAGGCAAAATAAAGGAAAAGGAGTAAACTAGCAAAGTTAAAATTGCTGCCACTTGAGAAAGTATCACTTAATAATAACATAGAAATTGTCACTGATACCAACTGAAGGTTTCTGGCACCATACTTGGGCCAAAGGTAATGATGGAAAAGGAAGATGACAGGATAGACACTATGTAAGGGAAAGGCTTGTCTGAAGAGGAGAAAAGTGGTTTTGAGTGAGGGAGACAGTAGGGATCAGGAAGGGAGGATACCTCAAAAAAATATGCATTCATCACTGTCAAAGGTTGAAATATATGAAGCAAATCTCCAAAGGGAAATTGGGAAAAATGTTCTATAAGAGGGATATTAAAGGTATACTCAGAAATTAAGGACACGTATTAAGACTTGCAGAAGACGAGAAGCAACCGAGGAGACTTGTATGAAAAAAAACAGCAAAGAAGGGTAGAGCGAAAGGTGGAGGTTGGAAGCTAAATAAGAGGGGGTGCGTGAATCAGGCTGGGGTACAGAGCACGCAGTGTAGAAACCAATAAACAGGAAGGGCAATTAAGAGGGCTGAGTGGGAAAGGTAGGAAATGGGCGTTGGAAATTAGTCTGAGTTGTGTAGTAACAAGGAGAGTGAGGTAAAAATGTAGCAAGTGAGGGTTTGCTGTCCAGGATGCTTTGCTGCGAAAACCCTGAGAGAAATGGGTGTGGCAATATAGTGAGAGGTCAGAAATAGGCTAAGCGGGATGGACATAAAAGGCAGGCCAGAGGCAGGAATCCTGTGGACATTGATGCTGAACTGAGAATACAAACAAATGCAGTAAAGAAAGTCGGATACAAGGGGAGATGGCAGTGGGCTGAGTAGGGAGTGCCCAATATGATAGGAGGACCTATCCAGAAGAGCCCCCTGAAACCTGTAACAATGATATGTTATGTAGGTGGCAGCTGAAAGGAGGGGACACAGAAGATGAGGCAGCATGTTTGTAAGAGAAACGAAGGAACCAAGAGGAAAGGCATGGAAGAGCATGAGGGTTCCTGCAGATATGAAGGGATTATGTTAAGAATGGCAGATATTGACTGCTGGGTTATGGCACCATACTTAGACCGGGTTGTGACGGAATGAGGAGAAGGAGTTTGTTAGCTGAGTTAAGGACCATCGTATGAATCAGAAAAGCCAAGAGTAAATGGAGTGGCAACAATGCAGATCAGGTGTATAACGGAGAGACTCAGAGGGCGACCTTGAAATGGTTCAGAGTGGACAGCAAGGCCCAGTGGCAATGAGTGGTGTATCTAATAGTTTCAAGGACCTGGATAGGAATGGGAATTAGAGTAGACTAGATATTGATGCCATGGGTAAAACAATTTATCTAAAACTTGGTTAATAGAAAGTTTAAGGGAGTTTTATTAAGATGAATTCTCCTAAAAAGGCAATACTAGCAACCTTAAAATAAATCAGGAGCATGGGCAAGTGGCTGGCTATCGAGAAGAGGATTAGTATTTCTTGAGGAGTGGATGGGAATCAAAAGAAGTAAACCTCAGGAGAAAAATACTGTACCCATTGTTATGATATAGTGTGATAGTAGCTGAGATGGATAGTTAAGATGTAGCAGAACGTAACAGAATAAACAAGAAGAGAGGGGGCTTAGTCTAAGTAATGGGAGCATTTCATGAATTAGAGAGGGGTTCTCCAGAGTCAGAGTGGCAAAAAGGCAGATAAGATGTGGGTTACGTACACCCAGGATGGAGAAACCTGTAAGATCCCGGAAGGGAGCTAGCTGGTTAGAATGTCTGGTGGTCAAGCTTGAGATTTGTGGTGTGATAATCAGGGAGAAGTAAACCAAGTAGACTAGCTCATGAAGTTTTGATGGGAAAAAAGTTTTTAAAGAATTTATATACATGTTATTTATGGATATAGAAATACTAAAATTATAAAAATATGTATGAGAATAAGTATCAAATTATGTGGTAGTTTATCTCTTGGAAGGGAGAGAGGTAAATGATTCTGAAGTGGTATAGATGGTCTCCACTATATGTGCAATATTTTATTTCTTTAAAAAAGTCTCAAATACAGATTATATAAAGATATAAAGAAGGTAGTGAGTGTATGAATTTTGGGGGGATGGAAAATTTTAATTAAAGAGCTTGGTTGATAGGAACAGTTAGAAGGGGGAGATTAGGACACATCTTGATGAAAAGCCATTGATAGCAAGCTGAAAGCCATCAGTGTGACCAGCTGGTGGGCATGGGTGAGGAGTTTCCCTGGTGAGAGGATGGTCTCTTTTGGTAGAAAGTGAGTGGATACCATGAAGACAGGGTACCTCAACAGTGCCTCTCAAGAGGAAAATGACATGTCTCTCACTAATTAGAGATGGAGGTGAAAAGTACAGATTTTAATATATGACAGCAAATCAGGGAAATCTGCAAGAATTTGTTGTATAATGTTGTATAAAGTATAATGTTCAAGTTTGCTCAGAAATTAAAGTGTCATGTGAGAGAAACTATTGAGACATATATTTAAAAAAAGAGAAGGAAAAAGTAGAGGACCATTAAGGCTAAAATCTAAGGAGAGGGAGTATGGTGGAGAGGGAGTATGGTGCAGAGCGTGCTGTCTTGCAAAATGTTGACCAAGGAAGGACAGTGAGGCGGGCCAGGGTGAGGAACCTGAGAGACACCAGACCTGGAAGTTCAGTGAAGAGCTGGGTGGTAAGCCAGAGATCAGACAGCTGAGGGAAGAGGTGAGAATACAGCTCAATAAGAATTGGAGGATAATGTGTTGCTGCTCAGAAAGCTTTGTTGGCAAAAGATTTGAAACAGTTGGTGTGGTCAATAGAATGAGAGGTTAGAGAGAGATTAACCCTCCGTTGGGCACAACTGATCTCACAGATTCACTGCACACAAAGATGCCACTATGAAATAAGTCTTTGCTGTACTAAGTCACAAACACAACTGGCGATAGGTTACGGTAGAGGGGGAAGATACGGAAGTGATGAGTCATGATACATAAGTTAACTGTTAGATATTTGAAAATTTGTGTGCAGTGAATCTGTGAGATCAGTTGTGCCTGACGGCGGGTTAAATGTGACCAAGTTTAAATGGGCCAGACAGAAGTCCTAGGTGAGTCTAGACTGAATGGATGGTGGAAACAGATTCAGTACAGAGAGCAGGAAGGGAAGAAGATGGAAGAGGCTGAATTGTGAGTGCTGAACATCAAAAGTGTACATACCCAGGAGAGATGATTCTGTTCACAGGAAAGATGCAGCTGAAAGAAGAAGGAATTTTGGAGGAAAGTAGGGAGTTGGCAACAATAGACGGGAAGGGATAGAATGTTCAAGTTGCTTGCAGATGGAAAGACATTATTTGACATATTGATGGGAGACTTAGGCCAAAGGTCACAACAAGATAAGAAAATAGAGAGGGTGGCAAGTAAGTAAAAGGGGTATTGTATGAATGAGAGCAGTTTTGAGTAGATGGAATGGCAACAAGACAGGTCACCTGTGAATGAAAGAAACACAGAGTTGTCAGATCTCAGAACTGTGTGTGGAACAGGAGATCTGGGGCTTCCAGAAGGACAGGAGTTGCGTAGGCTGGCTTGTGAAGTCTTAGTGGGACATTTATGATGGAAGTGATTGTTAGGCAAGGTTAGAAGGAAGTAGATTAAGATAAACCCCGATAAGCCACTGGTGGAAACTGTAAAAACGTCACCACTGACCTTTTAGAAGGTATGGCTTGGATACATTTTCTGTAGGACAAATGAATGCTATTGGTTGAGGAGTGGTTGGGAGTCATGATGAGATAAATGAGGAGAGTAATCCTGTATTCACTGACATACAGAGCCTCTGAGTGAAAGATGTGTCGAATAATGTTTAAGGCCTGGCAGAGCAAATATTCAAAGGGAGTTATGGCAGACCTGCTGATGTTCAATTTGCTGAGAATTTAAAGAATCACATAAAGACTGGCTGAAAGTCAGAGAAGCACCTGAAAAGATTTGTATTAAAAAAAAAAAAAAAAGGAGGAAAGGGGAAGGGAGAAAAGATGCTGGTTAGAGAGAGAGAGAGTATGAGTTACGATGGATTTGGAATCTGCAAGGTGCCCAATAGCCAATATTACTGAGAGCAGAATGAGGAATGCACGTGTCACCAGCTGTCTACTCACATTATCAAAATATTTGTCACCATCCAAAGTGTGTGTCCATACATCACCATGTGCTCGGGAAACTGGGTACAGGGAGTTAGCGTTCCTGTGCTAGCACAAACTTCCAAGTTTGCACACAAGTCTGTTTGGGATGCTATATGCTCGCTGCGATCATAGGTCTACCAAGAGGCTTACTCCTATGCTTAAGGTTTTTAAATGCATTATTTCTATCATCTTCCCTACAATATGCATGGAACAACTCAAGCAATTCACCAATCGGTAAGTAAAAGTTTCCAAAAAGTTTCTTATTTATATATTTCATTAAAAAATGTATATGCATTTGTTATTTATCTTGAAAACCTATCATTATTTCTTGCCATGTAAAAGGAGAATGCAATTACAATCTTACAGCATGGGTTCATTTTGTACTGCATACAAACGTGTACTGCATACACACAAATGAATGAGTGATATGTTAAGTACTTATGTAGTTTCCCTTTAAAATGGTTTTTAATTATAAGAAATTTAAAATTTTATAATAGTATTTTTGTGATGCTTGAAAAATAGGTTGGATTTTTAAAAGGGAGAAGGTTGAGGGCGTTTTCAAAATAAGGTATTGCAATATAAGCATTTACTAAGAAAAATTGTTATTTAGAGTATTTTAAACAAAGGATAATGAAAATTGTACTTATAAAGCAGTTGAGTAAGGAAGAGAACTGTGTGGTGAGGCAGTTCTTAAAGGGAGATAAAGTGATGACTCAAAATGAGATTTAAGAGGGATAGTATCCAGGATGGTATGTTTGCATAGAAAAGTGCAGTCCACAGAGAGAAATGTTAGCGACAGCTTCAGTGAAGCGGTCCCAAAACAAGGCAGAGATCCTATCATGGGAAAAATAAAAAACCAAAGCAATTCAGCAAAGTATGTAGGAAAGCAGAAATACAGAAATGGATTGAGTAATGAGTGCAGAGCAAAAAGAGGAACCAAAGAGGAAGGTATGAGGTTATGAGAAGGATATAAACTCAGAATTTGGATGTTAATAAAAGGTAGAAGAGGGGGAAAAACCCCAAGAGAATGGGTGGAAAAGCAAAATGTACCTTTAGATGGGAAAAGTCATGTGAGGGACGGCATACTGGAAAACGGGGTTTGGCACTACAACTGTCTCTAATGGAATAAGGGAGGTTGTGATAATAGAAACTAAGTAAAAAGCGCACGGTATGGATAGTATTTCAGAGTAACTAGACTAAATATAGGGGGAAATAGATTAATAATAAGGAAACCCAGAAACATGAGGACAAGGAAGTGGAAATAGGACTGAAGATGGGCCCAAGGTCTTGAAGAAAGTGAAGGCAGGATGGAAACAAGTCAAGGCAGCCATATGCACTGGAGTGGAATACTGGAAAAAGGCAAGTGGAAAAGATAGACTGAGTTGTACGTTTAATCGAATTCCAAACCAAGGAGGCGAAAAAGTTAAGAAAGAAAGGGGAATTCAGTTGATATGAGGGAAAGGGTGCCATGGAATGGACTTGAAAGTGCACATCCGTAACCAGAGAGGACTTTTTCAGAAAGACGGCACTGAACAAATGATGGAAGGGGCGGGATGAGGCAGCAGGGTTAAATATGGCAGAGGAAAGAAAGGAGTACAGAATGGAATGTGCAACTAGCATTACACATACGACTACAGGTGCCCTGAGGAAAAAACAAAAATGACACGAAATGTCCTCAGTAATAACGGAAATTAAACGGAATAAAAGACAGGAACACTGCACGGATTATACTATATACAGAGATGAGGAAAAAAGTAGTGTACAGTAAACCCATGATAGGGTTAACAGCAAAGAGTGGGGAAATTAAGGTGGCTGGCCAAACTTGTTACAGTATGTAACTTCAAAGATATGAATTAATGAAAAAGGAAAATATTCAGTGGTGAAGAAAATATAAGAAGGAAGAGGTTAAGAGTATATGTACCATTTTATAGCTGAGTTCAAGGAAGGTTCAAGTTTCCAACAAGCTCTAGAAGAGAGAGAAATGCAGAGACTGGCAGTGAGAGTGAGGCAGAGCAAGAAGGGATGACAGGAGAAGGTGAGAGCATGTCCAGGAAATATTAAACATGAAAAGAATAAGGGCTTCAATGAGTAGGTTTCCAAAGTTCAATCAGAGAAAATTTTACTTTGAAAACAAGTAAAATTAAGCACAGGAATGAATGAGGCACGGACTAGGAAGTAAACAAGCAAACAAACAAAAGTTGTAACAACAATTCTTGACTACATCTTGACTAAAAAAAGGGAGGAACTAAGCAAATGAACATGTCTATCTATAAAGAAGACTCGTGTTTGGGGCATGACAGACGTTGGGTATGAAAGAGTGCAGTCAGAAGGACAGTGCCGGATAATGTGAGAGTGGGGCCAACTCGGGGTGGGGTCTTTCAGGAGAATGTGTCAATGGCAACCGACAGAACACTGCAAGCTCAAAGTGGGAAAGTGCAGCCCAGGGGTCAGGTTGGGCTTCCACCGCAGTGATTCTTCCCGGGGGTGGGGGGGGGTGATTTCACCCGAGGGGGGATGTGGGCATGGACCCCAAGGGAGGCCTATCAGAACATCTGGGGGGGCGGGAGCAGTGCTCTGCTCCAAACAACAAAACCAAAAAAACAAAAAAACAAAACCCAAAAACACCTCAAAGATGATATGATAGGCCGCCTTGGGGGTCATGCACCCTCGGGTGAGAATCACTGGGTGGAAGGGGCAGAGGGCAGAGCTGGGCAGGCA